ATAATGCTGTTTATCTGAGAACCGATTGACCAGTGCGGAAAAGGGGTTGGGACATTCTATGGGCTCCGTGCGCCAAGAGAGGAGGGCGCGTTTTTACCACTTTGGAGAGCCCCTTGGATGGGACACCGCGTGTGTGTACGGGACTGGTTCGCGCGCGAAGTACGCGCCACTTATCCTGAATGTGCACATGGCACAAAGCTAAGCCATAGCGTCGTCGGCGCGCGAATACGTTCGAGCCATGGTTCGAGCCTAATTTACGAATTTCAAGGACTGAGAATTTGAAATATGTTCCACTGCTGCAAACTTCAAGCCATAGCAAAAACAAAAAAATAAGATCGTTAGAGCCTCTTCGACAAATGAGGGCGCTACAACGAGGCAAATAACGGGTCTAAAGCAGTCCAAATCCAGGCACGTCATCATTGTACCCTCACTGGGACCCCTTACACGGGGCATTGTGCCACGCTCCCTCAACAATACACCCAAGAGGCCTTTTGTGTTTGTGTTTCCCACGTTTCTGTCGTCACCCCGCAATGATATTGTTTCCAAGATTATTGTGAGTAGCGCCATCAATAGACCGGCCAGAAACAAAAACAAAGACAAAGAACCGGCTGCCTTCCAGCAAAGGAGCCTCCCCCCCCCCTGCCGCGACAAAATCTTGTAAGGTCTACTATATTTCAGGCCTTTTATAATTTAAACTAGTACAATGTAGTCTGTAGGCAAAATACAATTTCAGCCACGAATATGCACTCCCACTATGGCAGGGCTTGGCCGCGTCATGTTCAAGACAGAAAGGTAAAATGCATAGTTTGAGTAAATGGTTGAATGCAGGCCCAGATTAAGTGTTTCGTAGGCCCTAGGCACCAGTGTTCTGAAGAATGGAGAAGGAAGGGGAAAGGAAGAGGGAATAAGAACAATGTGGAGAATGTAAATAATAAACACCGCTGCTCAAAACTCCGCGAAACTAAAATCCGGTTTTGAAACCCATGTGGGCGAGGGGATGGGGGATGACCCAAAACCTACAATTTTGGCAATTGCCCGGCCATGGACATTCGAAAGGGGGGGGGGGGGGGGGCTGGACACAACATTAAACTGGGACGCTCTTTATCAATGTGTATACTCGCGCTTACATGTTTAACCGTGAGCAGTATATCCTTTCTTTTCTTACTAGGGGAACATGGCTAGCCCAGGTGGACTCCCCTACCGCACTACGTACGTAGGGAGAATGCAATGAAGTCTGGGCGTCCAACCTGGGCTACGAGCACACCATAACTCCCCGAGGCACACACAATAAATCTTCCTCTTAAAAACAAAACAAAACAAAAACAAACAAACAAACCTTACTCTCAAAAGTGATCAAGGCATTCATCAAATTCGAGTTCGATTCATCCACTTTCACAAATTGTTGTTCAAAGTTTTGTTAGTTATCAAATCCCTCATAACATTATCCCCTGAAAGTAATCTTGACGCCCATCGCCATAGTCGAAATGATGCCTCCACTTCATTGTGATATAGAGCAACTTTCAGGAGGACGTTGCTATACCACTTTCAATTCGCTCTTTTCACACTCCGCCATTGGGCATTCACAGCCTCGCTCTGGCAACTTCACACAACAAAAATAGCCGGTTCAGTGATCTGAACCCCGACACGGGAATCACTGAACCGGCTATATTTATTGTGTAAAGTTGCCAGATCGAGGCTCTGCATGCCCATGGCGGAAGTGTGAAAAGAGCGATGGGGGGGGGGGTGGGTTGACTACAAATTTGCCGACAAGACATGCCTGTTGAAAGGTACAAAGGATTTTTCACCCAGTCACCCTGGCCTCTTTAAAATCGAAAAGTGTCTTCCTGATCCTATAGGGTGCGCTGTTCAAAGCGGACAGTCATGGGCATTAGATCAGACAATGGGTCATCCCTGCAAATTTGCCGATGGACGCATTACTTTTCCCGACAGGAGGACAATGCGGCTGACAACATCGATTTATGTGGGGGTTCACATGCATCCCATCTGTGCATGGACGAACACGGCGAATGTCCAATCTAATTTAATTCCTGCGATAATAATCATTGGATTCATGTCTGCTTGTTTTCATCTGTCTTTCTTTTTTTCCCCCAGAGATCGCAAACGACGTTTTCGCAGAGAAGACACACGACCTCCGGAATCTGTTTGGCCGAGACGGGCGTCTGGCCTCCAAAGATATTTTCAAAAAAAACGCCATCATTAACAGGAGCTTCCCCAGAATGCATCAGACAATGCATCGTTTGTTGTGAGGAGTATAGATAAGATACGACTTGGGCCCTACAATGTCACGGACATGTGTTAACACAGAGACTAACTATGAACAGTGTCCGACACTCGTGGCGCTGTTCATTGCAGACACCCGAATACAACCAAGTTCGGCAGACGACTATGAGCTCCGTGCAACAGCACCCACTCAACGGTTAGACTTGGCCCCAGTCTGAGTTACCAGTGCTCTTTCAGTAAACGCACTCATAACTACTGCACGGTTAACAACGTTAACGCGCAGAGCTTCTAGGCCGCCTTGCTCCACCCACAAGTGGAGCAGTTGGGCCCACCCTGGGTCACGCCTCATATTCCCAACCCCTATTTTTTGTACAATAGCATCTCGCATGTGCAGACACACTGTAAATCAACATAATACAACTCTATTAAGGCAACGTAAATGATTGTTTCATGTGAGTTCAGAAACCCAGAGTTGGTCAATCTTGCCTGGTGCTTGAGCACAGTCGATGAGCTTTGCATAATATTCATTCTTAACACTCAATCAGCGTTGTTTGCCAACTCGCACAGATAGAGCGTGATTCTTCCTATCTTACGACTCATCTTAGGACATAAGGTGATAAACAAAAGCCAGACTTGGGCCAAGTCTAGAGATAGGACAACCCTATGGCAGATATATTAAAACGAGTTCGACCGTGTTGCAAAAAAAGTCCTGACGCATTAAACACATTTTACGTTGAGTACAACTGTTCCTTGGACAAGTACAATTGTTCCTTGGACAAGTTGCGATTTAAGACGCGTCTTAGCATTTCTCGAAATCGCCCCAGGTTTTGCGTTCGGGACGGGAGCAGAATTGAAACTTTTGTTTCTTGAAAAGGGTCCCCAATTTTTTTTATGCACACTTGGCCGGTGCATAATTTAAATGGGGGTGGTAAGACCGGTGGTGAAAACAACTGAATATTGGAGGCGCTGTTCAAGAAGGATGCTTTTCGACCCCCCTCCCCCTTTCGACGGTAGTGTGGGAAGGGGATTACTATTATTTGCGATTGTGAAATTTTCACTGGATAGGTCGCAGATCAAAATTACCAAGAATCCCTTTGGGGAACATGTTTATATGACATAATCAAGATGGCCGACTGTATATTGTCCCCTGAATATACTACTGATTTCACTACATGTAATAAATATTTAAAAAAAAAATAGAAAATATGTTTCTTTGAAATCGTTGATTTTATATTATGTCACTTATGATCATTTCCAATGTATATAGCACGGGCCTGCTGACACAGTCTTTTCGACTTTGATAATGCCACTGCACTGCGGCCTCCAAACGTTTTACCTGATACACAGGTTTTATTTCTAAAAAGTTATTCCTCTTTGATTTTTTTCTTTTAATAAACTGCTCTCCCGACCTGTTCGACATGTCGGGGTATAATGTCTGGGGATACTTGGCTGTACTGGTTGTCGTACATGTATACAGCAGCATACGTGCGGTCTGACAATGCCAATATTTTTCATGGCCGCTTATCTATTCATGCAATGTTCCAAAAGTCCAATTCTGAAGTGTTTACGGCACTCACATGTTTACTGATGCACCTGTCTAGATAAAGTCAAATAATCATGGGTTTCCAGTGCACGGATTCGGTTCTGCTTTGGTTTCGGGAGAGTTTGAGGCCCCTGACAAAGGGGAATCCGGCTCAATCCGGGCCCTTGTTTTGCCTAAAATATTATAATACGAAGCCAAACTTTGAAGAATATCCATTTGCTGTTGACGTTAAAAAAAAACACCAAGAATGATCCTCAAGTCTGAGACAAAGCCGTAGCTGGACACGAATCCGTGGTTTGGAAAACCCCAAAAGATAAACCCATAATCTGACGTCCCACCTCGTCATGTACAAACAAGTGCAAACAAAACACGACAAGGTCAGGTGTAGCCTAGACTTGATGACAAGTCGTTAGATAGTCGTATTTTGTCCGTGAACTTTAGTCGAACACCATTGGTGCGGCTGGTATAAGACTAATACGTAATTGGCCGGGTTGCGACAATTCTTAGACTTGACGATTACAATCAATACATATGCAGTGCATTTTTGCGGTGAGATCCAATGGGCCACCGCTATGCAAACGAGGACTCATTCATTCCGTTACATAGGGAGTTCTTCTCAATACGTCGGGGACATGTTTGAAGACCTGGCGAGGTTTTAACGACCAATACACTCAGCTAGGTCAATTGTGTAATTGAACTAAAATGTATCAGTGTGATATACTTGATTTATATTTGTATGCCCTAAAATGATTTTTATGTTACACAACACAAAGTTCAAACCCTCGAAGTAATGAGAATGATCTTCCGTGGCGGCCTAGAATACACTCTGGAATCTGAACCAATCAGAGTGCTCGCATATAATTCGCTAGCGATTCAAAATTCTCCCATATGTTGCCTACAAAATTGAAAACGTATTCAACGCCAAGTCGGTAATTGAACACCAATAGTCAGCATCATTCGGTCTGCGAACCAGACTACACGCATTGCAGGGATATTTCGCGTGCGTGGAGTCATTAACCGGTACCGTATGACAAACAATTACCGACTAAGCACCAAGTCTAGGTGTATAGTCCGCTCTACCTTGCAGGGGTTCGATTACTGAAACGAGAAGTATGCGCATCCTAGTTACAGTGAAGTGTGTTTGCTTATGAGGCGTAGGTCCTGATTTACATACAATCCATCGCAGTAGGGCATTGAATGCCAGTACACGGACAGCTTCTGACAACGTCTGGTTGATTTTCATTTCTGTGAGTGAATCTTCACACCTAACTTCACCATCAACACGGTAATTACCAAGATGCCGCAAAAGACCATTCAGGATTTGGATGCCTACATTAAGGCGACAGCCGTCGTGTACGACCACTCCAACACCAAACTCGTCAGCAGGAAGACTAAAGTCAGCAGGCGTAGGAAGGAGGCGTTTCTTTCTGTGCTTCCATACAGGAAACCGTCTTCTCATTACCACTCCCATGAGAGAAAGACATCATCATGGATTACCCGTAAACAAAGAAGTAAACCTACAACAGAATGGTAAGAGATTTGGAAAAAAATGTTACAGCTTGACGCCACTTTCTTCTTCATAATCATAACATGAAGGTCAGTCACTGCTAAAATGATGATAAGACATGAATCCGGGACTGAGAAACATTTCCAATTTTGTGAGAAAATACAAAATATTCTTGACTCTCCATAGACTTTGTACACAATCGCCGAAGTTGCGTCAGGTTGCAACTTTTTTCCCCAGAGATTTCTTAAAAGAAATTCAAGCTGTGTATACAAATCTGTTCTGTGATCAATTTCCAATGCATATTAAAGTCGGATGACTCTATAAACAAAAGAAAAACTAGACCCTAACGTGATGCCTCGGCACTGGCCCACAGCTAGAGATATAGTTTCAATTTAGTTTAAATGTTTTCAATGTATTAACAAACCTTCAGGTTTTTCGTTGGTATTACAACCAATGTTCACTGCCAGCATGCTGCATCCAGCATACCATATTTTACAATCATAACTTGGGCCTGACCTAAATGTTCGTTCTTATTCTTATATTATAATTTCAAAATCGCAAAAAAACCCCAATTTTTCTTAAGAGAGTAGTATCTTGCTCACATTAATGGCACATTCCATTCACGTCTTGCTATATTGTAATAAAACATCTCGGAGTTTCGGGGGACGTTTTTGATAGAAGTTTGCAATTATTCACTTGTCCAATCCATTTCACATTCCAAAGATTTTAGTTCAAAATTAACTGATAAAAAATATAGTTTTATACCAAATAAACCTACATGATTCGGATGACTCCTGGCTTGCTTACGACAGGTACTAATAAGGAAATAAATGTGTGCTTAGCCGGTTTTAAACACTATTTTTCAGACCGGTTGGAGTGTGGATGGGATATTATGTAAAATTATCTAAAACTTAGGATAAATATATATCTAAAACTGCTCAGTGCTGCTTTGCTTGGTGCGTTTTTCTGCATTACCCAAATATCGGGACATTTGATGGGCAATGATTCCAAACGTACATTACTGTTAATCAGGTCAAACTGCTGCGCGTCACTCCCAGCAGAAGGCGTTAACAGTAAAAGAGAGTGACTGTCCATAAACGGACATGGTTGAGCAGTTTTATCATATCACTTAATGTTTTTCTTCAGCTTCAAATAATTTGATACCAGTCTTCGATTTTTTTTTACATCATTCTGCGAGTTTAAACTCGACACAAATGAACTCAATAGAACTCAACGTTCGGGCGATATCTATCATAGATTTGATTGACTACATAAGGATTAATGTCATCATTCCTCGGACCCGTTCCCTCCTTCATTACATACTACTCAGGCTCATTACTTCTTCCTGGGTAGTTGGCAAAAGAACAAGAGAGTAGGCATCCAAATTAGTAAGAATTATTATAGATTTCTATGGCATGTGGGATCTAAATTTTGGATCCACTTACGGGAACAATGTTTTTTGCCCCCCCTCCTAACAAAAAAATTGTGTTCTAGATCCGCCACGAACCCACACGCACCTCCTCAGCTGTGAATACAGAATACTCGTCGCCCAAGTGATGTCGGGCAACAACATTGAGCAATTTGTTTCTTCTGCTGTGCATACTTCCTTTCTGATTTTTTTAAATTTTTATTTTCACTGTACGGTACCTTCGTTGTAAAATCAAAATCTAAAACTGCTCACGGCGCTTTTCTGCATTTCCAAAATATCGGGACATTTGCTGGGCAATAATTCCAAACGTACATTACTGTTAATCGGGTCAAACTGCTGTGCGTCACTCCCAGCAGAAGGCGTTAACAGTAAAAGAGAGTGACTGTCCATAAACGGACATCGTTGAGCAGTTTTATCATATCACTTAATGTTCCGCAATTTTTTTTTTGAGCTTCAAATTAATTGAAAAAAGTATTCGATTTTTTTTAACATCATTCTGCGAGTTTAAACTCGACACAAATGAACTCAGTAGAACTCAACGTTTGGGCAATATCTATCATAGATTTGATTGACTACAGAAGGATTAATGTCATCTTGCCTTGGACCCGTTCCCTCCTTCATTACATACTAGATTTCTATGCCATGTAGGATCTATTGATCAAGATGTTACCAATCAACGTTGGAGAATACTTGATTTGTCTATAACTATAATAATTATAAAATACTTTGTCAACAGCGCCGATTTATTTCTAGGCGGCTCGTCAATATCATTTAAAGTATTGTACCCCCTAAAGGAATTTGCACAAAAGGAATTTGCTAACAGACGAGCGGTGGTTTTAGTTCAGAACTACCCAAACTGCGCAAGCGCACAAACTACGTAAGGGGGATGAATAAACGTGCATGATGCCGCCATTCGGGCACATGGGCCAGTTTAAGCCCTTTTTTTTGGTCTATTTTTTTTTTAAATAATCGTTCGACCATTTTTTTACAGGTAGTTATTTCAATTTCCCAAACAGCAGACCATCAGATATGGAATATACTTTACTTCATTTGCCTGACCGGTTTAAAAAACAATTCCAGCAATCAGAGGTTCGTTATTGAGCTAGCTGGGCCTGTTTAGAGCTTCCGTTACACTTCAGTGGTTGTAAGTCAGCACGAGTTTGCCTTTGGGCATGTGTGTGTCGACTGCGGCCGACATGTCGGGGCAATCCGGCTTAGTCTAGGCCCTTGTTCTACTTCAGCAACATTCCTTTTTTTAACTTAAAGATCGAAGTAATCATTTGCTTTTGACTTTAAAAATTCCGATAACTTAGTCAGAGAGGAAGCCGTAACCGGGACAAATCCTTTGATTGGAAAACTTCCAAAAGATAAACCCATCATCTGGTGTCCCGCCTCGCCATGTACAATCCATTTGAAACAAGACCAGGTCAGGTGTATAGTCTTAGCTATCTTGTCCGGGTTCATTACCGAGCTACAGTCAAGTGTGTTTACTAATGGGGCGCGTAGCTGATTTGCATACAATCCATCCATCGCAGTAGGGCATTGAATGCCAGTATACGTAGTTATCTTTTAGTTGTTTTTCGTTTCTCTGAGTGAATCTTCACATATTTCATCACCGTCAGCCCGGTTTATACCAAGATGCCGGGTTCATTGCCGAGCTACAGTCAAGTGTGTTTACTGATGGGGCGCGTAGCTGATTTGCATACAATCCATCGCAGTAGGCCATTGAATGCCAGTATACGTAGTTATCTTTTAGTTGTTTTTCGTTTCTCTGAGTGAATCTTCACACATTTCATCACCGTCAACCCGGTAAATACAAAGATGCCAAGTTCATTTCCCAGTTACAGTCAAGTGTGTTTACTAATGGGGCGCGTAGCTGATTTGCATACAATCCATCGCAGTAGGGCATTGAATGCCAGTATACGTAGTTATCTTTTAGTTGTTTTTCGTTTCTCTGAGTGAATCTTCACACATTTCATCACCGTCAGCCCGGTTTATACCAAGATGCCGGGTTCATTGCCGAGCTACAGTCAAGTTTGTTTACTAATGGGGCGCGTAGCTTATTTACACGCAACCCATCGCAGTAGGGCATGGAATGCCAGTATTTGGACAATTGCCAGTAGATTTTCTACAAAGGTACAATCCTGTAACGGACGTATGCTTGAACATGAAATCCCCTTTACGAAAATAACCAAAAGCTTTGTTCCAATCTTCAAATTTTACCTTTTCCTTCCAGAGAAACCCGCTCACATATCTTAGGTCTAAAATAAGTATTTTGTTTCCAGGACTGTTAATTGCTACTGACAAGAGATTGACAATTTCGGGTGGTTTATTACACTGGAAAACTTGACTGTTGGCCAACAGATCACATATGGTTTCTTCAACAAATTCACTATTGTCCAATGCTGATTTATTCTTATGCATCACCAACGGAGGTGGGGTACTCAGAAAGGGAAGTTTATATCCTTGTCCAATGACATCTAAAGCAAACTGACTTTCTGTTATGCTTTTCCAGAAAGTAATTGCCGACTTGAGTCTACCTTTAACAAGCGGTTGTGCTAGTCCTTGAAAGTCGAAAATAGCGCGGGTACACGGCAACTTTCTAACAAGACGTTGAACCATTTATTGTTGCACGCCAAAGTTTACGTGACGACGTTTCAGCTCTGAGGGCACTGCAAGCTCAAACCATAGAAATGGGCCCCTACAAGCTCGCACTTTTATTCTTAGGTCCAAAAACTGAAGTGTTTACGGCATTTGTGCGAGTATTTTACATAGGTTGGTGCCGCTGGTAAGATAAAGCCAACTAAAAGTGGGTTTCCAGGGCACGGCTTCGGTTCTGTTTTGGGTTCGGGAGAGCTTGAGGCCCCTGACTTAGGGCAATCCAGCTCAATCCAGGCTCTTGTTTTTACTTCAGCAACGTTCCATTTTTTAAAAAGATCCAAGAGTTTAAAGAATATCCCTTTGCTTTTGACGTTATAAACTCCGAGAACTTAGTCAGGGAGGCAGCCTTCACCGAAGCAAATCCGTTGATTGGAAAACTTCCAAAAGATCGATCCATGAGTTGGTGTCCCACCTCGCCATGTACAATCCAGTTGAAACAAGGTGTAGTCTGTGCTACCTTGCCCGGGTTCGTTACCAAGCTACAGTCAAATGTGTTTACTAATGGGGCGTACGTAGCTGATGTACATGCAATCCGTCCATCGCAGTAGAGCATTCAGTGTCGGTACATGGACAACTGCCAGTTGATTTTCCTTTCTGTGAGTGAATCTTTACATATTTCTTCACCGTCAACCCAGTAAATAGCAAGATGTCGCAAAAGACGATACAGGATTTGGATGCCTACATTAAGGCAACAGCAGTCGTGTACGACCACTCCAACACCAAACTCATCAGCAGAAAGACTAAAGTCAGCAGGCGTAGGAAGGAGGCGTTTCTTTCTGTGCTTCCATACAGGAAACCGCGGTCTCATTACCACTGTCATGAGAGAAAGACATCATCATCAGTAAATACCCGCAAACCAAGAAGTAAACCTGCAAAAGAAAGGTAAGAGACTTCGAAAAAAGTGCTGTAACTGACTTTAACTGTGCTCTTCTG